CCGGGCTCCTCCCGAGCCCCTCCCAGCGGAGCCCGCCCGGGACTGCGGGAGCGGCCGGGCTGGGGGCAGCGGGATTGCGGGAATTGCGGGAATAGCGGGATTGCGGGATTGCGGGATTGCGGGAATTGCGGGAATTGCAGGAATTGCAGGAATTGCGGGATTGCGAGAATTGAGGAATTTGTGGGAATTGCGGGATTTGTGGGATTTGCGGGAACTGCTAGAAATTTTGGGATTGCGGGATTGCGGGAATTGCGAGAATTGCTGGAATTGTGGGATTGCAGGAATTGCGGGGTTGCGGGATTTTTAGGATTTACGGGAAATGCTGGAATTGCAGTAATTGCGGGAATTGCGGGAATTGCGGGAATTGCGGGAATTGCAGGAATTGCAGGAATTGCAGGAATTGCAGGAATTGAGGAATTTGTGGGAATTGCGGGATTTGCGGAATTGCGGGGTTTGTGGGATTTGCGGGAACTGCTAGAATTGCAGGATTTGGGGCCGGCAGCAGCGCTAGGTGGCAGGAGTCAGTCGCGCACAGGGAGGGATGCGGGGAGAAATCCGGGGAAGGGATTCAGGAGCTCCTCCGGCCCTGGAATCGCTCCGGGCTGGAATTCTGCCCGCCCGCCCCGGGGATGCGCTCAGGAGGCCACAACCGCTCCTGCAGCCCGACCCCAGACCCGCAAACCGCATTTCCCCCTTCCAGGGAACAGGGAAGGGGATTTGGGACTGTCCTGCTCCAGGATGGGGATTTGGGAACCTCGTGCTCCAGGATGGGGATTTGGGAGGTTTTGCAAGCTGGGTTTGGATCTGTGCTTGGATGTGCTCAGGCTGCAGCTCCGGATGGGGGTTGTAGGGTTCGGGATCTGTGGGGTTCAGGATCTGTGGGGTTTGGGATCTGTGGGTTCAGGATCTGTGGGGTTTGGGATCTGTGGGTTCAGGATCTGTGGGGTTTGGGATCTGTGGGTTCAGGATCTGTGGGGTTTGGGATCTGTGGGTTCAGGATCTGTGGGGTTTGGGATCTGTGGGGTTTGGGATCTGTGGGGTTCGGGATCTGTGAGTTCGGGATCTGTGGGGTTTGGGGTCTGTGGGGTTCGGGATCTGTGAGTTCGGGATCTGTGGGGTTTCACCGGGGAGTGTTTTAGTCGAGATCGTGCTCAGGCTGCAGCTCGGGGTGGGGGTTGTAGGGTTTGGGGTCTGTGGGGTTCAGGATCTGTGGGTTCAGGATCTGTGGGGTTCGGGATCTGTGAGTTCGGGATCTGTGGGGTTTGGGGTCTGTGGGGGTTCGGGATCTGTGAGTTCGGGATCTGTGGGGTTTCACCGGGGAGTGTTTTAGTCGAGATCTGTGGCTGGGAATCCCTGCAGAGCCTCACCCAGGCATTCCTGAGGTCTGGAATAACAGGAATTTTCACACACAACCTCAAAACCTTCTCCGGGGGATGTTTTTGTCCAGAGATGTGGCTGGAGAGCCTCACCTGGGCATTCCTGAGGGCTGGAATTACACAGATTTTCACACACAACCCTAACTTCCATCGAGCCATCACTTTATAACCACCCCATAAATTTGGGGAATCAAGCCTCCCCTCCCAAAGAGGGAGAAAATCCCGGAGCCAGAGGGGCCGAGTGCATCTCCAGCCCTTCCCTTTCCTTCCCAGCCTCAGCCAAGCATCCTTTTTTGAGGCACAGGGAGATTTTTCCATCTCTCCGAGTCTCGCTCGAACTTTTACTGTCTGGGGCTCGGCTTTTAGGGCCGCTGGCAGCAGCTGTCACCCCTCCCGACCCTAAAGGGGCTCCCCCGGAGCCGGAGCCGCCGCTCCGGAGCTCTCCGGGGTGTCTGTGCGATTTTATCGGGCCCCAGAGCCGGGGGAGAGGCAGCCGATGCAAAATCAATCCCCGCAACACCTGAAGGACGCAGAAGATCGGTGCCAAACGTTGTAGCGACAAGAGACGGAACGATTCTCGCTCCGGTTCCTCGCCTTGGGAATCTCTGCTGGGATGGAGACGAGGAGGGGCAATGGGAGGGAAGGAGGGAGAGGGGTGGGAGCGGGATGTGGGGCAGAGCAAACCCCACGGAGCTGCTCCGGGAGCCGAGAGCCCACGGGGATGGAGCAGGGGAGGCGGCAGGCGGTGATTGCTCCTTTCAGCCGCTGATTGCTCCTTTCATCGCGGCACAATGGCCTGGGATGGGATCCGGCCTCTCCTGCCAGCCGGGATTGAGGGGAGACATCCCAGTGCCCCCAGTCGGGATCTGATCCAGGCTCTGCTCCCAGCCCTGGGAATCAGGGAAATATCCCAGTGCCCCCAGTCGGGACCTGATCCAGGCTCTGCTCCCAGCCCTGGGAATCAGGGAAATATCCCAGTGCTCCCAATAACCCAGGATCTGATCCACACTCTGCTCCCAGCCCGGGAATGGGGGGAGACATCCCAGTGCTCCCAGTTGGGATCTGATCCATCCTTTCCTCCCAGCCCCGGGATTGAAGGGAAATATCCCAGTGCTCCCAATAGCCAGGATCTGATCCATCCTCTCTTGCCAGCCCGGGAATGGGGGGAGATATCCCAGTGCTCCCAATAGCCAGGATCTGATCCATCCTCTCTTGCCAGCCCGGGAATGGGGGGAGATATCCCAGTGCCCCCAGTCGGGATCTGATCCAGGCTCTGCTCCCAGCCTGGGAATCAGGGAGATATCCCAGTGCTCCCAGTCGGGATCTGATCCATCTCCTCCTCCCAGCCGGAAATGAGGGGACCTATCCCAGTGCTCCAAGCTCACGGGATCAGGAAATATTCTGGGAGCTGAATTTTTATCCATTCCCAGGCTGGGTTAAAGGCGAAAAATAGATTTTTTTGGGATGCAAAACAGCCGGGCTGGGCAGGGTCCCGGCAGCCCGGTTTGGAAGGGCTGGAGAGGGCTCCACAAGGCGTGGAAGCGTCTCCGTCTGGCACATCCCGGAGCAGGGAAAAGCCGGGTTGATCAGCGGGGCCGGGCGCTGTGGGAACCTCGTTGGGGCTCTCCGGGAGCAGCGCGGTTCCTCAGCTCGCGGAGCAGAGCAGCCCCGGAGCGGCTGCGGGAGCAGAGCTCCCTTGTGAAGGGAAACCAGAGCCAGAGGGCTCCGCCGAGGGCTCGAGGTGTTTTTCGGGCTTTATTTTAAAATAAAGATGGTGTTTGCTGCTCCCGTCCTTCCCCCACACCCGGGAGCGGGATGGGGATTGGGATCCTGGGGTGAGGGGGGATTGGGGCGGGGCAGGGGCGGCTGCGCCCCCAAAAATGGGAGGGGAGCAGGGATGGGGGACGGGGAGTGAGGGAGGGGGTCTGTGGGGTTGGCAGGAGGGAAAGGGAATCATGGAACGGTTTGGGTTGGGAGAGGCCTCAAGGATAATCCCATCCCAAACCAGGCCACCATCCCGGGCTGATCCCAGCTGGCAGCTCACCCAATCTGGCGGCCCCAGATTGGGTGAGGCTGAGGTTCCTCAGTCGGGTGATGAGCTGGGATGGCAGGGATGAACTCCTGGAGAAGGTGGGAATGTGGGAATATCAGGGATGTGGGATGAACTGGGTAATGTGGGACTATCAGGGATGTGGGAATATTGGGGATGTGGGAATATTTGGGATGTGGGAATATGGGGGATGAACTGGATAATTTGGGCATATCGGGGATGTGGGAATATTGGGGATATTTGGGATGAACTGGATAATGTGGGAATATCAGGGACGTGGGATGAACGCCTGAAGAAGATGAGAATGTTGGGGATGTGGGAATACCAGGGATGAACTGGATAATTTGGGAATATCGGGGATGTGGGATGAAGCCCTGGATAATGTGGGAATATTGGAGCTATCAGGGATGAACCCCTGGATAATTTGGGAATATCAGGGATGTGGGCAGCCCCTCCCACCTGGATCTGCTGCTCTGCCTCACCTGAGGAGCTGCGAGGCCCTGAGGGAGTAAAAGGGGAATTTGGGAGCTGAGGAAGGGAGGAAAAGCCACGAGGGGTGGGGATAAAAGGGAGGCTGCATCCTCCAAAAATGTGAGAGACCCCAGGGGAATGCCCCATGGCCTCTCCCTTTACTGGAATGAAGTTACAGGACTCCTCTGTCTCCTTTTGGACATAAACCTCTGATGTTCGTGGATGAATTTTCCTGACACCCCTTGGCCCGGGGAGCAGCCCGCGGTGCTGGCTGGGGACAGGGGGAGGTGACCAAACCCAGCAGTGTCCCCACGCCAGCTCCTCGGGGTCACCCTCACTCCTCAGCAGACCCCTCCCCGAATTTCCCTGCAGTCTCACCCCGCTCCCAGGCCCCCCGGGGTCCCCTGCTGCTGGGGTCCAGCCTGGCTGTCCCCGCTGTCCCCGTGCCACCCCCCAGCCGTGCCGGGGGGGTGTTTGCTTTGAGCCCGTGTTTGCTTTGAGCCCGTGTTTGCTTTGAGCCCGTGTTTGCTCTGAGCCCAGCTCAGCGCAGCCCGGCACAAGCCGCCGTGATTGACTCGCGGATCAATTAAAGCAGCGCGCGGACAGATGGAGGGCTCGGATCCGGAGTTTCCCCCCCGATCTCCTCCTCTCTCGCTCTCCAGGGGCCTCTCAGGTTAATTGCCCTGATCTCTCTCTGCCTTTTTGCGCCGCAGCCTGGCTGTCCCCGCTGTCCCCGTGCCACCCCCCAGCCGTGCCGGGGGGGTGTTTGCTTTGAGCCCGTGTTTGCTTTGAGCCCGTGTTTGCTTTGAGCCCAGCTCAGCGCAGCCCGGCAGAAGCCGCCGTGATTGACTCGCGGATCAATTAAAGCAGCGCGCGGACAGATGGAGGGCTCGGATCCGGAGTTTCCCCCCCGATCTCCTCCTCTCTCGCTCTCCAGGGGCCTCTCAGGTTAATTGCCCTGATCTCTCTCTGCCTTTTTGCGCCGGCCCTCAAGGACTGCCTGGCAAATCCTGCCCTCCCGAATCCGGGCCGCGAGCAGGAGCAGGAGGAGGAGGAGGAGGAGGAGGGAGAATTGATTTGCTCCATCAGGCAGCAGCAGCAGTTGCTGCCACTGTTTAATTCTCAGTTCAAGCCCCGTGGAGAATGCAAACGGCTCCGCTGCTCGGCCAATTTACAGCTCTGACAAGCTGCTAAACAACGTCTTTGTCAGCGCCCGGCGGCCCCGGGCTCGCCGCGGGTGGCGGGGGAGGCGCAGGTGAGGAGGAGGAGGGGGAGGAAGAACAGGAGAAGGAGAAGGAGAAGGAGAAGGAGAAGGAGAAGGAGAAGGAGAAGGAGAAGGAGAAGGAGAAGGAGAAGGAGAAGGAGAAGGAGAAGGAGAAGGAGAAGGAGAAGGAGAAGGAGAAGGAGAAGGAGAAGGAGAAGGAGAAGGAGAAGGAGAAGGAGAAGGAGAAGGAAGAGGAGGAGGGGAAGGAGGAGAAGGGGAACAAGAAGGAAAAGGAGGAAGAGGAGGAGGAGGAGGGGAAGAAGGAAAAGAGAGGGACGGAGAAGGAGGAAGAGGAGGAGGAGAAAGAGAGGGATAGGGAGAGGGAGAAGGAGGAGGGAGAGGAGGAGAAGGAGGGGGAGAAGGGGATGGAGAAGGAGAAGAAAGAGGGAGAGGAGGAGGAGGAGGATGAGGAGGAGGAGGAGGAGGAGGAAGAGGAGGAGGTTGTTTCTTCTGAGCATCCCTCTCTGCCCGCACTGCCTCTCCCAAGCAGCCCCTCCTGCCCCTTCCAGGGATTTGGGAGAGGCTGAGGGATGGAAATGGGCCTGGGCTGGAGCTGGGGGCTGTGGTAAATGGGAGGGGGCTGCAGGCACCGCACAGTTCTGTGACTGAGCTGAAAAACTACGAGAATCCAGCAAAACTCCCCAAAACCCAATTCGGGGTTGCTCCTTCTGGTTTGGGTGCTCAGGTCAAGGAGGAATCCTCCCAGGATTCACCCAGGGAGGAGCTGGGGAACCATCCCACACTCTGGGAAGACTTTAAAGATAATTTTTACGATAATTTTTTACACAAAACTCTTTTGCTCCAAGTCTCCAGCTCCTGGCCTGGGAACACCCCGGCCTGGCAGAGCCCCTGCTGGTCTGACCAGGCTGCACTAATCCCAGGCTGGAACCCGGGCCTGATACCAACTTTAGGTAAATTATCTCCCTAATAATGACAAATCAATTATCGGTGCTGCCCGCGAGGAGGGTGCACCTGTTCCAAAAATCACCTGGGGCAATGCACCCAAAAACCTCGGGAATAATCCCAGCCAGAGACGGAGAACTAATGAATCCTCATCCTGCTGCTGGTGCAGCACAAAAGGGAAACAAACCCAGAATCCTTCTTGGGGTTTATTAAGAGATTTGATGAAGAGATTTTGCTTTTCTTCAGATCTTTTTCTGCCCCCTTTTTTTTTTTTTATTTTTGCCATGAGCCTGGCTGGGAAGTCAGATTTGGGCTGGGATCTGTTCCCAGCACACAGAGCTCAGCCCAGAGCTGGGGTTTGGTTTTGGGGAGCTGGGGAGGGGCTGGGAGGCTGCTGTGACATTTGTGACATTCGTGTGACATTTGTCACCCTGGTGGGACACCCTGTCCTGTGGCTGTGCTGAAACAGATCCCGAGGGACCTGGGAGGCTCTGGAATTGCTGCCAAGGGCAGGGATGGCACCACTGCCACCAGCCCAGCCCTTTTCCAGCCCTGGGGGTCACCTCGTGCCCCCCTCCCTCCCCCTTGCCCCTTTGTGGGCTCTAATTCCCGCTGTGCCTTTTGGGTGCCAGGTGGGCATCCCTTCTTTGGGGACATTATTCGTGCTGACAGCACTGATGGGACTTTTCATCAAGCAATTAAATTGAAAAAAAAAAACCCGAAAAAAAACCCAACAAGAAAGGGCCCAGCTTGTTCTGAAACACAAAGGCAGCAGCAGCCGGCATAAATTACCGAGTGGAGTTGTGTTTACTCCAGCGCATTCCCGGGGGGGATAATTAGGGAAGAGGCTGGTGCTGTGTTCCACGAGGCACCAGGGGATGCTGCCACGTCCCTGGGCTTGGCCGGACCCCGGATCTGAGAGGGGATCAGCGAGGGGAGAGCAGGGAGTGATTTCTGCTCTGCTCTGAGTTCGGGATCTGTGATTTCCTGGGGGGGTTGATCCTCGTTAGCTCAGATCCCAATTAGCTGCCTGTGATCGGGGCTGGAGCATCTGGCTCTGAGCAGGAATTGGGATCAGGGGTGGCAGGAATTGGGATCAAAATCGGGGTTTTTTAAAGAATCGTTTGTTCTGAGCGGGAATTGGGATCAGAGGTGGCAGAAATTGGGATCAAGGCCGGAATCATTTGATCTGAGCAGGAATTGGGATCAGGGCTGGAGCAGTTTGTCCAGAGCAGGAATTGGGATCAGGGGTGGCAGGAATTGGGATCAAGGCTGGAATCATTTGATCCAAGCAGGACTGGGATCAGGGCGGGAGCACTCTGCTCTGAGCAGGAACTGGGATCAGGCAGGGAGCAGTTTGTCCAGAGCAGGAATTGGGATCAGGGGTGGCAGGAATTGGGATCAGGGCTGGAGCAGTTTGTTCACAGCAGGAATTGGGATCAGGGGTGCCAGGAATTGGGATCAGGGGTGCCAGGAATTAGGATCAGGGCTGGAGCAGTTTGCTCTGAGCAGGAATTGGGGCTGGGAATAGATGCCAATGTTCCCACAAATCAGAGGGGCTTTAATGAGTGCTTTGGGGTCCTCTCGCTGTGAGCTGGGCCTGCCTCTGCACCCTCATCCCTCCTGCAGCACCACCAGACCCCCAAAATCTGCGTGCTTTGATCTCCTGGTGGAATTCCTGCAGGGAATTGCCCCAAACAGGAGTTCTCTGCATCCTTATCTTGGTCCCAGAGGAGGAGGAGAGGCAATGCTGGGAGGGATCACACCCCCATGGCCGTGGGGTGACCTGGAGAGTGGGAATTCTGCTGGAAATGGGCTCAGTCCATGCCCCGTTCCCTTGATCCTGGAATGGTTTGGGTTGGGAGGGACCTCAAAGTCACCCCCAAGGACACCTCCCACCACCCCAGGCTGCTCCAACCTGGGACATTCCAGGGACAGAGCCACCCCAGCTCCCATGGAAAACCATTCCCAGAGAGATCCCTCACAGGGTTAAACCTTGAGGCAGGAGGGATCCGAATGCAAAAAGCCAAGTGGTTCTCAGGATTTGGGGTTTTTTTGATTTTTTTTTTTTTTAATTACCGTCCTCTGGCGAATTTTAATTTGAGGCATCAAAGGCAGGAGACAAAGCCGTGCGAATCTGGTGCCGTACCTGCGGTGGCCGGGCGTGTGGCTGTCATCTGCAGCCTTTGCTGGGGACAAACAAACCCTCTCCTCTTTGTTCTCTCTGCTGTTTTGTTCCATGCATTAATTTCTCCTCTAAAGTTAAAAAAAAAATTAATAAAAAAAAAATCCGCGAGATTTGGCGCTTTGCAGGAAAAATAAAGGTGGCGTTTAGGGGATTAAAAAGAAAATACCTCCTTTCTTTCAACTAAATTACAAAGTGCTTGTGCTGCTTTGTACCTGAGAGCCAGAGGAGAGGAGCAGGTGGGGTTTGGTGGCAGATGGGAGGCGGGGATTGAGGCTGAGCCGCGCTCCGGAGCCAAGGAGGGGACGCTGGAAATGTCCCTGCCGGGGTGGCCGTGGCTGAACTGGGGCTGGTTCTGCTCCTGGTCCTGCACGGCTCCGGGAGAGCAGGATTGTGGAATTACGGAAGGGAATCATGGAACCCCTGAGGTTGTGGAATTACGGAAGGGAATCATGGAACCCTTGGAAAACTCTCCAAGGTCACCGAGTCCGACCTTGTCCCCAGCCCAGAGCTCTGGGTTCCTGGGACCCTCCAGGGATGGGGACTCCAAACTCCCCCAGTGCTTAGCATTTCTCCTTTTCCATGGAGAAATCCCTCTGGATGTCCCACCTGGCTGTGGAATCATGGAAGGGAATCATGGAACCCCTGAGGCTGTGGAATCACGGAAGGGAATCATGGAACCCCTGAGGTTGGAAAACTCTCCAAGGTCACCGAGTCTGACCTTGTCCCCAGCCCAGAACTCTGGGTTCCTGGGACACCTCCAGGGATGCCACTCCCGGGCAGTGCTTAGCATTTCTCCTTTTCCATGGAGAAATCCCTCTGGATGTCCCACCTGGCACAGCTGAGGCCGTTCCCTCTCATCCTGGGAGAAATCAGCAGATCCAGCCCCAAACGGAGGTGCTGAGCTGCACCTCCCCCCTGCACCTCCTGCCAGTCCCTGTGACCTCCCCCTGAGCTTTCCTGAGCTTTTCCAGAGGCTGGGATCTGTAGTTTTCTGTCGTTTTCCCCTGGAACGAGCTCAGGGCGGTGTTTGTTCCCCACCCTGAGCAGCTCCTGGCTCGAGTTTGTCAGTGCAGAGGCGCTGCTGCTTCCCAGAACATCCATCCCATGGAATGGCTCCAAGGGGAGCAAAATCCAGAACTTCCATCGTATGGAATGGCTCTAACGGGGGCAGAATCCAGAACTTCCATCCCATGATTCCATGCTCCAATGGGAGCAGAATCCATGCTGCTTCCCAGAACTTCCATCCCATGGAAGGGTCTAATGGAATCAGAATCCTTACTGCTCTCCAGAACTTCCATCCCATAAAATGGCTCCAAGGAGAGCAAAATCCAGAACTTCCATCGTATGGAATGGCTCTAACGGGAGCAGAATCCAGAATTTCCATCCCATGGAAGGGTCTAATGGAAGCAGAATCCACACTGCTCTCCAGAACTTCCATCCCATGTCTAATGGAAGCAGAATCCACACTGCTCTCCAGAACTTCCATCCCATAAAATGGCTCTAACAGAAGCAGGATCCGGAACTTCCATCTCATGGAATGGCTCCAACGGGAGCAGAATCCAGAATTTCCATCCCATGGAAGGGTCTAATGGAAGCAGAATCTACACTGTTCTCCAGAACTTCCATCCCACAAAATGGCTCCAATGGGAGCAGAATCCAGAACTTCCATCCCATGGAAGGGCTCAAATGGAAGCAGAATCCATGCTGCTTCCCAGAACTTCCATCCCATGGAATGGCTCTAACGGGAGCAGAATCCAGAACTTCCATCCCATGGAATGGCTCTAACGGGAGCAGAATCCAGAACTTCCATCCCATTGAAGGGTCTAATGGAAGCAGAATCCAGAACTTCCATCCCATGGAACGGCTTTACCAGGAGCAGAATCCAGAACCTCCATCCCATGGAACGGCTTTACCAGGAGCAGAATCCAGGCTCACAATTCCCACCGTGCTCCCCAGATCCCTCCGAGCCTTTCCCACGGCGCAGCACGAGCCGCCGGAATTCTGCCAGCACGGGGATGGATCACCCCCTTGATTGCTGTCAGGGTGCTCCTAAGTGCCTCCATCCATCATTCCCAGCGTTTTCCGAGCGGGAATGAGCGCCCAGGTGCCAATCTCGGCTCCCGGAGCCTCTCCACGTGTCCCTTCCTTGGCTTCCCTTCTGTTTTAGTGCCACTCTAACGAGCTCTCGCTGCACAGGGCACAATGAAGCCACGGCCAATTAAGCACAATTAAGGAAATTAAGGAAAGGCCCCTGTCAGGTGTCCTCATCAGAGCCTCCATGGCAATTCCAGCAATAAACGGGATTCCAGCTCCGTAAAACTCCCCCACAGCCAAGAGGCGTTTGGGATCTCGGAGGTGCAAGCAAGGAAGGATTTGAACTTAAAATTTCAGGTTTTATGGGTTTGAGCTGAAATACGGGAGATTTTGCTGGGATATTGGGGTGGAATTCCTGTCTGGGATGGAATTCCCAGGGGAGCTGTGGCTGCCCCATCCTGGAAGCGTCCCTGGGATGGTGGAAGGTGTGGCTGCCCTCGGCAGGGGTGGAACGAGGGGATTTTAAGGTCCCTTCCCACCCAAACCAGTGTGGAATTCTGTAATGAAATATTCCTGCTGTTCCTTCTTTCCCTTAAGCTGCTTTTCTGTCCCAGCAGAGCTCCTGGTGGGAAAAAACTTCCGTGGGTGTCCTCGGTGTGTTCAAGGAAACCATCCAAGCAGCAAAGGAGGGAATGGACATTTTTTAGTTGGTAAAAATGTTTAAAAGTCTCTTCCTGTGATTTAAACCACTGGAGAAGAGTTTGACTGCTGGGAAAATAAAATTTACATGGAATATTGGGCTTTTCCCGTCATGGAATTCCCGCCCAAAAGAGGCCAATCCCTGCTGAGTCTCACCCCGGCTTCGCCCGGGATCTGGCAAATCCCAAATTCCAGCCCCTCCCAACCCTTTTTCTAAATCTGGAAATGAAAATAGAGGTAATTTTAGCAAAAAGGAAATACAAAACGTGCATCTTCGTTTGAAGGTCTTCAGGGGCAGTTACGGAAAGGTAAATTCCACGCACACAAGGTCGATACCGTTATTTATTTAGTAAATTAGCATAATTGATAAAAAAAAATTAGAAGGACAAGAGTGCTTAAATCATTCCCCAGGTCAAGTCCTTTTTTTGGAAGTCTGGAATTTGTTGCGAGGAAAATTTGTGTGTGGAAAATTTGCGTGTGGAAAATTGGGGTGTGGAAAATCCCAGGAAAATGAGTTATTGATAGAACGGGTTACAGAATTGCAAATATCTGAGAAAAGAGAAAAGAAAAAGGGCAAAAATCAGAATGGCATCACGGGGGTCCCGTTGAGGGTCACCGCAGTTCTGGGAGGGATTTTGGGTTTGCTTTGGGACCCATTTTGGGTTTGTGTTGGGACCCATTTTGGGTTTGCTTTGGGATGGATTTTGGGATTGCTTTGGGATGGATTTTGGGATTGCTTTGGGATGGATTTTGGGTTTGCTTAGGGACCCATTTTGGGATTGCTTTGGGCGGGGTTTTGGGTTTGCTTTGGGACCCATTTTGGGATTGCTTTGGGAGTGCTTTGGGATGGATTTTGCGATTGCTTTGGGATGGATTTTGGGATTGCTTTGGGATGGATTTAGGGTTTGCTTTGGAATGGATTTTGCAATTGCTTTGGGATGGATTTAATGGATTCCAGGATTACTTTGGGAGGGATTTTGGGTTTGCTTTGGGAGGGGTTTTGGGATTGCTTTGGGATGGATTTAGGGTTTGCTTTGGAATGGATTTTGCAATTGCTTTGGGATGGATTTTGGGATTGTTTTGGGATGGATTTTGGGATTGCTTTGGGATGGATTTTGGGTTTGCATTGGGATGGATTTTGGGATTGCTTTGGGAGGGGTTTTGGGATTGCTTTGGGATGGATTTTGGGATTGCTTTGGGACCCATTTTGGAATTGCTTTGGGATGGATTTTGGGATTGCTTTGGGACCCATTTTGGGATTGTTTTGGGATGGATTTTGGGTTTGCTTTGGGATGGATTTTGGGATTGCTTTGGGATGGATTTTGCGATTGCTTTGGGATAGATTTTTGGTTTGCTTAGGGACCCATTTTGGGTTTACTTTGGGATGGATTTCAGGATTGCTTTGGGATGGATTTTGGGTTTGCTTTGGGATGGATTTCAGGATTGCTTTGGGATGGATTTCAGGATTGCTTTGGGAGGGATTTTGGTTTGGCTTTGGGACCCATTTTGGAATTGCTTTGGGAGGGGTTTTGGGATTGCTTTGGGATGGATTTTGGGATTGCTTTGGGACCCATTTTGGGATTGTTTTGGGATGGATTTTGGGTTTGCTTTGGGAGGGATTCTGGGCACTCTGCGATGGGAAAAGCGGTGGCGCTGGGGTTGATTACCGATGCTAAACGCGGAGCATCCCCTGACAGCCGAGCCCTCAGATCTCCGAGCCATCAAATCCCCGCCTGAGCTTCCCCGCTCGGCGAGAAACGATGGAGAGGACGGGAAAAAAAGGGATGAAAGTGAGGAAATCGCTCCTGGAGCTGCTCACCTCTGCCTCAACCCCGCCGCTTTCATGTCGCGCGGATTTGTTTTGATCGCTCTGAGCCGGGCTTGGTTTGAGTCCCGTTCCTGGGATTCATGGAAATGAGGAGCCGCTAATGAGCGCGGCTGCGGGAACGGGAGCGGCGGATCCGGGGTGCGGGATTTGGGGTGCGGGATTTGGAATTTGGGGTGCAGGTTGAGCGATTTGGGATGTGAGATGTAGGATTTGGGATTTGGGGTGAAGGATTTGGGATTTGGGGTGCAGGATGAGTGATTTGGGATGAGTGATTTGGGATTTGAGATGTGGGATTTGGGGTGAAGGATTTGGGATTTAGGGTGCAGGATGAGTGATTTGGGATGTGAGATGGGGAATGTGGGATTTGGGGTGAAGGATTTGGGATTTGGGGTGCCGGTGAGTGATTTGAGATGTAAGATGTGGGATTTGGGATTTGGGGTGCAGGATTTGGGGTGATGGATTTGGGATTTGGGGTGCGGGATTGAGGATGCAGGATTTGGAGTGAGGGATTTGGGGCGTGGGATGAGGATGTGGGATTTGGGGTGAGGGATTTGGGATTTGGGGTGCGGGATTGAGGATGCAGGATTTGGAGTGAGGGATTTGGGACGTGGGATGAGGATGTGGGATTTGGGATCAGGGACTTGGGGTGAGGGATTTGGGATTTGGGGTGCAGGATGAGTAATTTGGGATGTAAGATGTGGGATTTGGGATTTGGGGTGCAAGATTTAGGATTAGGGGTGTGAGATTTGGGATTTGGGGTGGGGATGAGGGTATTGGGATGCAGGATTTGGGGTGAGGGATGCAGAGTGTGGGATGTGGGATTTGGGGTGTGTGATTTGGGATTTGGGATGTAGGATTTGGGATGTGGGATTTGGGGTGTGGGATGCAGGATATTGGATGTGGGATTTAGGATGTGAGATATGGGATGTAGGGTTTGGGATGAGGGATGCAGGATTTGGGATACATGATTTTGGGTGTGGGATTTGGGATCTGGGATGCTGTGCTCAACCCCAAAATGCCACAACCCCAAAGCTGTGCCAACAGGACCCTCAGAAACCATGGCAGACACCAGAACTGCAGGAAATCCCATGGGAACCCCATCAAAACGGCATTTTTATCAAGGTATTTCACATTTTGATGTAAATTTGAGACTTTTTTCTTTAATATCCTGATTCTAATCATAAAATGGTGAAAATCCCATTCCTATGACTCAAGTTTTATGGAAAAAAAAAGAGAAAAACTCAAGTTTTATAGAAAAAAGAGGAAAACTCAAGTTTTATGGGGAAAAAAATGCACCTAATTTGGAGTTTGTTGGAATTATTTTCCCCAAGGACGCTGTCCCACATTAAATAGGAATTAAATTCAGTTTTTGCTTGGTGTGTTATTTCTAACAGAAATGCATTTTTACCATTTTTAGGTGTTTTTTTTCCCTTTTCCTATTCTAAATAATTCCCCGGCTCCTTGACTGTCAATGCACCCAAATGGAAAGAAAAGCTGATTTCCATCCACTTAAATCCACCTAAAATGAGCCCATTAGGAGCCACCTTCATCCGGTGTTTATTTTGAGGAGAAAAAACCCAATTTGGGGCATCTCCCACTGCTGAAAATTCACATTTTGGGCTTGCCCAGCTCTGCTGTCCTTTTGTCCCAAAGCTGGTTTTTTTTTCACTGCAGATGTTTTCATTTTCTCCCCAATTTGTTGGAATTGTCATTCCTGCCAAAAAAGAGGTCGGGAAAACTCCATTTTCCCCGGGAAAATTAATAAAATCTGTTCTCATGCAACCTGTTCATTAAGCTGCAAAATGAGAGGTAATTAAAAATCAAATTAAAATCTGGGGGCTTCTCCCAGATTTCACCTTTCCAAATTGTGGATGCAGGAATTTTTTTTGCGGCCAAAAAGCAAAAAGTCCAATCTGGCAGCTGGGAGCATTTCCAGCTTCCAAGAAATACCTGGAAGAGGAGCTGGTGCTTTGTCTGGCACGGACAGGAGAAATCCGGCTGTAAAAATTGAATTTTTTTCCTGGAATATCATCAGTTTTGGTTCCTTTCTCACAGGATTTGTCTAGCACGGACAGGAGAAATCAGGCAGTGAAAAATAATTTTTTTCCCTGGAATGGCGTCATTTTGTCGTCAATTTTGTCGTCATTTTGTTGTCATTTTTGTCGTCATTTTGTCGTCATTTTTGTCGTCATTTTTGCCGCCATATTTGGCTCCTCTTTCCTGGGATTTTAGGACGAAGCTGCGATGGGAATTCGGGGTTTTTATTTGGGTTTTGGGTGAGGAATTGGGGCTGGGGAGGAGGGGACATCCCGGGGACTTTGCAGCTCGAGGGCGTCACCTGAGGAATGACCTGAGGACTTTGGGAATTTGTTTTCCCGTGAGGAAGTGGCAAATGGAAAAGGCGGATTTGGGCAATAACCTCGGTGTCTGGTTTGGTTTTTATTTCCTTTTGGTTAAAGCTGTTGAGAGGCATCCAAAGCAGGGAAAAGAAAAAAAAAAGTTAATTTATTTAATTAATAGAATGTATTTAATATAATAATTACATATAATATTAATATTAATATTAATATTAATTAATTTCAATAGAAAATTAATTTAAAACAAAATTATTTCAATCTAAAATTTTTTAAAAATTAAAAATTAAAGGAATTTTTAAATTAAAAAATTAAAAATTAGATGAAATCAATTAATATCAATAAATAATGAAATATAGTGTATTTAGATATAAACACTTTATTTAATTATTATATTAATTTATTCTTTTAATATTTATATTAATTTATGTTCTTATAATACAATATTATTATTTGTTATACAGTTATTATATAAATGCATATAATGTATGATATATTAAAAATGAATTATTACTTATAAATAACTTATTAATTTATTGATTTTATATTGACATTGCTATTATTTTATATTAATTATTTCTAAATAAAACAGCCAGAAATTTGGGCTTTGGGTGCCACGGAACATTCCCATCTCCACATTCCCTCTGGGACGGGGATGCTGCACAGGCCAGGGGTGGGGCTGAGCCCCAGCTGCTCCTTCCCATCGAGGCCTTGAAACACTCAATTAATTCCAATTTTAGCAGCAGCTCTTTGTTTGTTCAATTAAAACCAGCTGCTTATTGAAAGAAACATATTTATTGGGAATTAGCAGCCGTGTGCCGGGTGGATATTTCCCATCTCCTTGTCAGGCCTCAGACACAAAGCTGTGTTTAATAATAATTTTTTATTTTCCCGTTTCCAATTATCGCAAAGGGGGTGAAAAAAAATCATCCCATTAATTCCAAATTAAATGAACATTTGGAAACGAACATTTGGAAATGAACCTTTTGGAAAATCTCAATTCCCGGCGCTGGTGGTGTGGTGTTCCAGCTGGCTCTGGGGAAGATCCGCCGGGATTTTCCGCTGGAATTTTCTCCTGGATGATCCAGGCAGGGCTGAGACCTCCAGAGCTTCAGCTCTGCCCTCTCCAAACCCTCACTGGGGACGCTGCGAACACCTCCCCTCTTTCCCAACAAAAAAACTCCTGGAAATTCAATGTTTAGCAGAAAATGGGGATAATTGGGTCTTCCTGGAGCAGGCAGGGAGGGCCATGAATGATTTAGAGGGAGCTGGATCACAGATTTCTCCTGTGCTGCTGAAACATTTATTGCGCCTTCCTCCAGCGCCTGGCGCCGGGCCGGGCTTTGTTTGCGTGGATCTCTGAGGAAAAAGTGTTTATCCCCCCAAAACATGGGCTGGGGCAAGGAAAAACTTCCCAGGGGCACCCGGATCTGGGATTTGGGGTGGTTGTGTCTCAGACTTGCAGCTCGTGGGGGGGTTTTGATGATTTTGGGTTACAGGGGAAGACGTGGCCTTGTCACTTGTGCCCTTGGATGGGTTATTACCATTTTTTGTTCCCTTGGATGGGTTATTATATTTTTTTTTGAGCCCTTGGATGGGTTATTCCCATTTTGTTGTGCCCTTGGACCAGTTATTCCGTATTTTTTTGTGCCCCTGGATGACGTATTCCCCAATTTTTTGTGCCCCTGGGTGGGTTATTCCCTTTCATTTGAGCCCTTGGGTATGTTATTCCCCATTTTTTGAGCCCTTAGACAGGATATTCCCATTTTTAAACCCTTGGATACATTATTCCCCTTTTTTTTATGCCCTTGGACAGGTTATTCCCCTTTTTTCATGCCTTTGGATGGGTTATTCCCATTTTGTTGTCCCCTTGGACAGGTTATCCCTTTTTTCTGTGCTCCTGAAGGGGTTATTCCCTTTTTTTGAGCCCTTGGATGGGTTATTCCCATTTTTTGTGCCCTTGGACAGGTTATTCCCATTTTTTGTGCCCTTGGGTGCGTTATTCCCTTTTTTCCGAGCCTCATCTCCAGGATCCCGCCCCGCTGCAGGAGCCCTTTGCTCCCCGAGCCCAGGGAGCCTTTGACAGGCGGCCCCGGTGCCCCGGGGAGGGCAGTTTGTGTCTCTCCATGCCCAGTTTCACTCAGTGGTGCCTTTTTTCCCCGAAATCCGAAGGTGTCTGCGCGCTCTGCCCGGCCCCAGCGCCCGGGGCCCAGCCTGACCTTTGCTGCTCCCTCTCCGCTCGGGGAAAAAAGGAGACTTTTGAGAGAAAAACAACTTGTGAGGAGCGATGGAAAGAACAAAAAAACCCTCTGAGGGCGGGGAGGGAGCAGCGGCATTCCCGGATCTGTCCCTGCTCCAGCGGGAGCCGTGCCAGGGTGGTGGCACCGTGGTGGCACTGTGGTGGCACTGTGGTGGCAGGGACAGGGAGGCCGGGCAGAGGGCACCCCACTAGGTGGCAATGCCCATCCACGTCTCAGCCCCGGATTTTGGGGATGTGCAGAAGCCTGGGATTCCTGGAATTCCGTGCCCTGGCCCTGGCAGGAGGTGGCACCACGGCAGGGTGGTGGTGGGTGAAGGGACACCGGGGCGGGCTCGGAGCTCTCCCTGTGCACGGCTCCTGCCCCTGCTGGGGGAACAAGGCCCTCCCTGCATCCAGACATTCCCAGGATCCAGGAAAGGCATCTCCAGGCCCAGGATGGCACCTGGGTGTGCCCAGGCTCCGGAGAACCTGTGCCCAGTGCAAGCTCTGCCCTCCCACGGCTCCCCCGTGACA